TGGATCTGTATTTTGTCCGAGATCGTGTTCTTCAAAAACAGGTTTTTGTTCAGCATATTCCAGGTTTCGAACAAATAGCTGACATCCTTACAAAACCGATTCCTGTTGCTGCTTATTCTAAATTTCGGTACAAACTCAAGGTTATTCCACTGCCCATGAGTTTGAGGGGGGATGATAAAGGATAAGATATATTTAGTTAGTTATGACAATTATTTGTTAGTTAGATTCTTCTTTTATCCTTTCTAGTCTTTCTCATCTGCTATATATATAGCAGCTTGTAATCCTCTTCTTCAAGATTCAATACATTCAGAATTATTCAGTTTACATTTTTTTTCATTTCTTGTTTCACTCCAAGAGTGAGATTTCGTTTATGTCATTGAGGTCTGATACCTTACATCAAGTATATAATGCACCGATTCTTGTTCTTCTATTAAGCTATTCATTAAGTGGGAGAAAATATCTTCTGTCAACAGAGAATTCGTATCTGAAGAAAGCAGTATGGACCAGTAGCAAACAATTTCACTGTCGAAGTCAGGAACGAATTTCAACGTTACTTTGAAATTTTTGATTGTGGTCTTATACAATAGCTGATAGCAATCAGATACGAAAATTACTCAACCATATGTGATAAGTCATACTCATAACATGATTGCAACTTGCAAGTAGTCAATAAGGCATCCAAATAATAATGACTAAGATTGTTTAAGAGGAATGTTATTGCTAGCAGATTATTTGTTACTTTTTTTTCTTAATATTTTTATTATTAAATTGAATTTTATTTTAATTTCTTGCATTTACTCACAAGTTACAATTTATGTTGCACCGACACCGACACGGGATACGACACGACACTCCGACATGTTAATTTTAAAAAATGTTAAATTTTGACACGTTAAGACACGTTTTGATATTATATAATATTTTAATTTATGTAGTGTATATTATATCAGTTTTCAATAATTTAACAAAAAAATAAACTAAACATATAATACCAATCAATTTTGCAAGGAAATATATTTTATCCCAAATGTGTATATTAAACTCAATAAAATCGTAATCGTAATCTAACGAATCTAATAGTTGGAACTCGAAATGCAACACAACGTAATCATTGAACCTTTTTTGAGTCTTTGTAATAAGTATTGGAGTGTCGGAAAGTGTCAAAGTGTCGGAGAGAGTTAAGAAATGTCGGACACGAGACATCAGAATTTTTGAAGTGTCGGTGCTTTATAGGTCATAACTAGTAAGATGTCTGAAAATCTATGTTAATGACAAGATACTTGAGAAATTTGTATAAAATTATATGTTCAAATTTAAATGTTATTATTTATTTATTTCATATTAAAAAAAGTACACGGGGTTTGGCTTTTTGCCCAACTTGCTTCACTCTTCATTGATGGGATCAAGTGAGATTTTTTATTTTTTTTGGGTACAATGATCAAGTGGGATTTTACTAAATAATAAAATATATACTAAAAGATAATATCAAACAAATATATTCTTAATATTTCATTCAAGAAAAATTAACTATACCCTTTTTTTAAAGAAAGAAAAAAAAAATCTTTTCTGATTCCCACAAATGCGGATGAATGATCCCAACTGGATACGGTGGTGCTTACTAGTGTTTTCCACCCATTTCTGACATGCTAATCAATTCACTTTAAATGCGATTTTAACATATCTCTGTGGACGTGCTTGAACCTTCAACTCACTGAACGGAAACGCAGTGAATGCATGGGGATATCATAAAGGATAGAGAAATTTCATTATGCAAGCACGGTTGAAATTAATATTATTAAACTCGGTTCGGTTATTGATTCGGTTGAGGTACTAGATCACTGATTCAATCAGTGGATCACTGGTTCAATCGTATGACCTGATAAGTATATATAAATCTATAATTTATATTATAAAGAGTAAATACATTTTTTGGTCCCTAATAAAAAATACAGTCCCCACTTTAGTTCCTTACAAACAAAAAATTAGTCAGTTGGTCCCTAACAAATTCAAAGTGGACCCGTTTAGTTGAAATCGTGGTCCCTCACAATTTCAAAAAAGACCCATATTAGTCCCTCAAAAGGACTAAAATGGGTCCACATTGAATTTGTTAGGGACCAACTGACTAATTTTTTTTGTAAGGGACTAAAGTGGGGACCGTGTTTTTTGTTAAGGACCCAAAAATATATTTGCTCTATTATAAATATATTTAAATCCTTGTAAAAAAATATATCAATTTCAAATATTTTAATGTAAAAATAATAAATTACACATCATTATCCAACAAAAGATCAATCAAACATATAATATTTGTGATACTAGTGTTTCAGGTTTAGTAAATGACATCTCTAACTATAAATCAAATCAAAATTCCCTACATATTGCGTAATCAAGATAATATTAGTGTTGTAGGTACATAAGCTATGTAAGTTAATAAACTACAAATCACTTAAATATTTCAAAAGAAAACAAATCATTTGTGTTTGAGAGTAAAAAAAAACAAGACATTAATTTATGAAAATAAATTATTATTATTTTTTTTTTATATACCGGGCCAGGTCACCGATTGAACCGACCGGGTCACCGATTTTTACGAAAATCGGTCGAATCACACCGGTTCTGCAACATGGCCGGTCCAATATGAAAACCAGACCAGTTACATGACCGGTTTACCGATTTTCGGGTCGACCCGGCCGGATCGGTCCGATTTTTATATTGGTTGAAACAGATCAAATTTATTATATTTGTGATTTAAATAGGATTCATTTTTATTTTTTTTAATACAAAGGAAATTAAAAACATACAGCCCTCTAATCACACGAGGCCAGGCCACTCTCCTAAAGTCATTACATAATAGGATTTAATTTTTCTATAGCAAAGGAAGATAAGTTATTTCCGTTCACTTCTAAAACCCATATTTTGGGTTGAAAGGTTAAAAAATTATAATTATAAAAATTAATATAATCCTGAAATAAATTAAAATTACAAAAATATTTTTATTTCTATCCAAAAATAACTTCGTTTTGGACTGAATATAAATAATTAGATCAGTGATAGGTGATTTATCTCAAGAAGAAGCTGTATATATCAATAAGTTCCTTTATTCTAGTGCAATAGGCAGCCTAGTGTGTGCTATGATTAATACTAGGCCTGACATTGTTTAGGGGGTTAGTGTTGTGAGTAGATTTATGAACAAACCATGCAAGGAACACTGGCATGCTGTTAAATGAATGTTTAGATACCTGAATGGTATATGTAATTTATATTTGAATTTTTCTGCCTTAAATTTTAACAATTTTTTTGTTAAGGGATATTGTGATTCTAACTATGCTTTCAAAAGAAGATCATTGATTGGCATGATTTTCACTATTGGTAAAAATGTAGTAAGTTGGATAGCTAATCTGCAACATATAGTTGCTTTGTCAACGTGAGAGGCGGAATATGTAACCTTAACCGAAACTATAAGGGAAGCTATGTGGCTTAAAGGCATCATGGCAGAACTTGGTCTAGGTAAAGGCAAACCTGAGATACTATACGATTCACAAAGTACCATACATCTATTTAAAAATAATGCAAATCATGAAAGAACTAAGCATATAGATATTAAGCTTCATTTCATAAAGGATATGGTATCTAATGAGGCTGTTAGCATTGTTAAGGTTGCATCTAAAACCAACCGTGCTGACATTTTAACAAAAGTAGTTCCTGTTAATAAATTTAGTGCAATCAACCATGCTGACATTTTAACAAAAGTAGTTCCTGTTAGTAAATTTAGTGCAGCATCAGAGTTGCTGCACATTAAATTTGCGTAGTGTCTCAGTGTAGAATGGTGCTGCTATAAGATCCATTCAAAGGTGTTCTTGCACTATTGTTTTTATTTCTGTGCTATTTTCTATTTGCAAATATGTTTTTCTAAAATAAGGTGGAGTTTGATGCAAGTGTATTCAATGAAAAATGCAGCATTTTATTAACTTTTGTATCGATATTTTATCACTGCGTTTTATGTGCATTGCATAATCGTTTTGGTAAAAGATTAATACTGTGCATTTTATGTGCGTGAGTGTTACGTGTGGTTCTAGCACATTCTATTTTTTACACTTTCATTCTAATTGTTGCACTCTCTCTTGATTATTTTTTCTCTATCTGTTCTACGAAAATCCAAGAATTGGGGATCTAGGGTTTCTCTCAAAACCTAGACGGATATCTCTTTGATTCTCTTTGTTATTACCCTGTTCTATGTGTTATTGTTCATCCTCTGAGTTGTAGGTTTGAGATCGTGCAGAATCTTGGAGATTGAAGGTCTTGGTTCGTGACTTTGAGGAGTTGGAGGCGAGCTTGAAGGTTCTGTCTTTTTTAGGCTTGGAGGAGTCATCTCGCGTGTTCATGTGTTAAATTGGCTGCATGTAGCTTCTGGTTTATGATCTCTATCAATCTTGTAATAGTTGAAATTAGAGTTTTTGTTTTGGGCAGTTAATGCTTTGCTGCTACTGCTTGGCTTTAGCTATATTCTTGGTGTTTGTTTGGGGGTGCTTTTAGTGACCGGATTGTAAACTTTATTTTGATCTAATAGTTCAAGAACACTAGGACTTTATCTCGATGCACTTGGATGTAGGAAACTTGCTAAAAACAAGTTTCTGAACCAAGTAAATGCTTGGAGTCCCTCTTTATTTTTCTGCAATTTCTCTTCCTGTCAAGTTGATTTTCCAACAATAAGCATATTAAAAAGCCACTAATGAGCCCACAAATGGCAAAGTACAAAATATCTCTGTTTCTTGCATTACCACACTTAGCACAATGGTGACTTATCAAGCAGCTTTTATCCCGCCACAACCACCCCACACACGCAGGAATCAAATATTATCTGCGTATATACTTCAAAAATGAACAAAAGAAAGCCAAAGATCTCTAATACAATTCTTGCAAGCTAACCAGACTAGAAAGTATATTCAAGCATTGTTGGCTAATTATTTGAAGAAAATGTTTTATTCTAATTTGATGCCAATATTGGGAAGACTAACCGCATGCGGCTTAAGGTTTTGTTGAACACATACAAAAAATGCCGATAATCAATTACAGCAAAAATCTTAGCAACTAAGTCTGTTATATCTTGAACACAGCCAAACCTTTTAGTCTGTAAAAATTGAGTTTCCAACCTGCAAGCATTTTTATACCAGAAGATATAAGAGGGATTTGCACTTTATTTCTATCTAGACTCATCAGCCATCACCTCGTCTAGAAACTTTAAAAGAGTTCCATCATGAGCTGAGAAAAACTTATTTCTTTCCAAATTATCCACACGCAATACATATGCTCATTGTTAGAATAGAAAATTAAAAGATTACAAAGAACAGAGTATCAAATTATCAGCAATATGACTCACTCAAAGGCCGACAGATAAAACTAAAGCATATGAATTGAAATCAGACTTATAGGTGGTAGAATACTTCCAACAATATCCTTCATAAACAACTTCATTTAAAAAGCCATAGAAAAGAAGACTCTTCTCACAGTTGACCTGACTCTAGGCCATCCGTTTTTAATTTGTTATGTCGAAGTATATTCAAGTAAAATAGAAAGAAATAGTGGAGGGAAAAATCCTTTTTCATTCCTAAGCACAAAATGGAAGCCTTAAGGGTTTAGGTTTGCTGCCAGTTCCTTACCTACATAATCAAGAGTAAAATAGCTCCAGGTCCACTTCTTTCTAGTCTGTAAGATTATTGACTAAAATAAATAGAAAAAGAAAAAGATATCACTATCATAAATAACCTAGAAACAAGACCATAAAGGACCACCATATCCCAATTTTACTAGATAGATACCTTCTCTGTTTGTTGTGGGACAAACAACAGCAGGTAATCAAGAACCTGACCAATCTGTTTATGATAACAAGTATCCAAAATCGTGCTACGGGCTAAGGTAGTAACTATTCTTTTATTAACCAAAAAAGGAGCTGATTAGACCACAACAGAGGATGACAGAGACACGTATCAAATAACATATGGATCCAATGGGAGTTTCCATTGTCATCTCTTTTAAGCATAAAAATAAACTATCCTCAACCTCAAGAACGATGCATCCCACAAATAAATCATCCTAGAAGTCATAGTCAGTGATCAGATAGTTCATTTATATAAACTCCACAAATCATCAGCAATATATTAATCCCCATTCTAATAGAACTCGTTCTAGAGAGCACATGCTACAATTCCAGACTCAGCAATACATTGCAAAAGAAGTGATTCTCTCGTTCATCAATAAGTGAACAAACTGAAAGGGATTTTCTCTCTACATTCCGCCATTGTTAACTAGTTCTTTATAAGAGCATATTTCAGAGTTAAAAGGCCCCTAAACTAGAAAAAATAAAATAAAATTCACATTTGCAATAATTGAAAATTAGAAAGTGGTTGAAGCCTACGAATTACGATAGATAAGCGAATGAGCTCTAATTAAAAAAAAAATCCAGAGTACAAGACAAAATCAGGCTCAGACAATTGAATTGAGGAAAGGGGAAAATGAAACCCTAATCCGGGTCTTTGAATCAATCAAGGAAACCTGTTTGGCGCAAAACTGCATTCCGAACCTGGCGCAAGTCCCTACCTTTCAGGGTTCTTCCCACCCCTTCTAGAACCGAGCAAGCCAGCATCGGCGACTGCGCCGAGTTCCTTGCCACGATTTCGTGCGGAGGCAGCATCTCCTCCTCCTCCTCCTCCTCCTCGTCTTCGCCGTCGTGGACTTCGTCGAATTCGTGGTGCCTCCTCCGCGCCTTCATCATCGCCTCCGAAAGGATCGGGACGTTCACCGGCGCCGACTGGTGGTACTTGACGGAGGAGGAGGAGGACGACGACAACGCCGAGATTCGGTCGTGCGGCGGAGGCCTCGGGATGACGGGAATCAAGCGCGACGAGGATGAAGAGGAAGAGGAGTATGAAGCCTTGTGGAAGAACTGCGAAACGCTTCGGAGGTTCGGGGAGGTTTCGTTTTCGGGGAGTGCGGCGAGGATGCCGAAGGAATGGTGGTGGTGGTGGTTGGGGGTGGAGGACAAGGAGGAGGAGGAGGAGGAGGAGGAGGAGGAGTTGTGGTGGTTTGGTTCAGCGAAGTAATCGGTGCTGAAAAAAACGACGTCGTCCTCGTGAAGCTCGTCGGCTGCGGCGGTGGGGTTTTGAAGGAGCGACGGCGCGTCAGAAGGCACGCCGAGGAAGCGCTCTGTGGCGGTGGGTTTTCGGTTCGGGAACCAGTTCGGATCGTATAGATCCATGCCGGTTCGGGTTCGGGTTCGGAACTTTGTTACTGTTAGAGAGAGAGAGAGAGAGAGGATAATATAACCGACCGGTCACTGCTGAGTGAGTGGTGGTGAGGCTGAACGGGATGAATGGGCTTAAATGGCTAAGCTTTTTTTTTTTCTTTCTTAATTAAAAAATAATTTTATACAATCTTGAAATATTTTGGTAACTGAAATGGGGACGGTTATAATTTCTTTTGAAAAAGAAAAATGATTTACTCTAAATAATGATTTGGTAACATAAGCAAGATGAAGCACATTTTTATTTTGGCCAATATGGATATGAATACATAAACTTAGAAGCATAAGGTTGTTTTTTCTGTCCATCTTTCTTCCACAAATTTCTGCAATGACATGTGTCATCGTTCACTTCCACTTTTTATCGACAAAAGGAAACAAAATTCAGTACCAGTCTTACTAGAAGTTTCGGACACACTTTAAAGAACGTGCTTGAATTTGACAAGATTACATCATCGTTACTATTTAAGACTACAACATACCTACCCTTGTCTAACCAGAGTACATTATCACGGGACTAAGATATTTACTAATTGTACTTTTTACTTATTTTGTGATCACTTCATTCACTTGACTCAATTTGTACCACGTCTTTATTTATGAAGACTTTGTCTTAATCTTTCGCGCTCTCCATCCAACATAATATTCCATCACCAGAGTGATTTCTTTTTTTCTTTTTACTGTCTCTAGTTATCTTCAAAATCAAACAAGATAATTGTCTCTTGATTATAGCTCAACTATCTTCTGACAACATTGGGCACATAATGGATGTAACATATGGTTGTGTTTATAGCAATTTTTCAATTTTTCCAAAATTTGAAATTTCAAAGATACTTCATAAGCCTCTAGCTTCAAACGTATTTTTCTGTGGCTCGACATTTAGAGCTTCAAACATCTGTATCATAGTAACAAGCAAAATTCACCGTGTAGTCCTGAAATTGAAATTATTTTTAATGTCGACTTCATCATTACCTGAACAATGGTCACATTAGGGGTAATGGTTGACTATTTTCCCGACGTCGACACGAGATACGACATAACACGACACTTTGACATATTAATTTTAAAAAGTGTTAAATTTCAATATGTTAGGACATATTTTGATATTAAATAATATTTTTAATTTATGTAGTATATATTATATTTAATATTCAATTATTTAACATAAAACAGAGCTGAACTTATAATACCCATCAATTTTACAAAGAAACATAAGATATCTCAAATATTTATATTAAACTTAATAAAATGGTAATCGAAATCCAATGAATCTAATAGTTAGAACTCAAAACGCAACGCAACTTTGAACCCTTTTTTGAGTATTTGCAACGAGTATTGGAGTGTTGGGGAGTGTTGAAATGTCGATGAGTGTCGGACACGATACATCAAAAATTTTGAAGTATCGATGTTTTATAGATGATTGATGGCATTGGCAATCGAGTATCGTTTTGTGAAGGAAACCTGTGATAATAATTTGTGTACTATCGACCGAGTCCCGTGATTCAGCATCTCCATCATTTTCCAAATGGACTTCGCCAATATAGCAACCCGAAAAGAAGCTGCTTTGGCTATTAGCAAAGACGAAGGTTAGAGTTAATTAGACATTATCTAATAATGTAGTCCTACTATAACAACGTTAGTATGGCAAGTTGATACTACAAAATTGTTACATTATAACATACAATGTTTGAATATATAAGGTCAAATATTGAATCCCTTTATGAATTAGTAGTTAGGAAGATTCAATGCCAAGATTCAACTCCTAAAAATTTTAAGCCAAGATTCAATGCCAGCTGATCCTAGAATTTGCAAATTTAATACAATTAAACTGAGTCTAATGGCATAGCAATTTATACTAATCTTATAATATATTTTTATAAATAAAGTCTGAGCATTATAATATAATGCCAAAATATGTGTAAGTCTAGTCAATGTTGAAAGCATTAATGACCTGCAGGGGCTAAAGATATAAATTCGCAGAAAAAGAAAAATAAGTCACTTGTTACACCTCTTAAAGAGGTTGATCCTAAAGAAAATGAACTCGGTGAAATAAGCATAGTTGCTAATTGCAACAATCCCAAGAAAATATAACGACTAAATCTGAATGTCATGAGAAACGAGCAAGATTTGATTGATGATGACGTAGAAGTTGCAATATACTATATTTATACTGGAGAAAAATATAATAAAAAAATAATTATCATTGATGACTTATTTGCCTTCTCAATAGCTGTTACTGTCCCAATAGATAATATGGATCCAAAATCTGAAACCATTTAAGAATGCCAGAAGCATTCCAATTGGAATGAATGGAAGGAGGAAATTAAGGAAGAGTTTTCGTAGAGACCCGACATCAATTATTATGTTTCTGATTCTCCCATTATAAATTATGTTACATCCATTACTTGACGAATATAACAATTAGGATGCATCTTAAGATGCATTTAATGAACGTCGTGATTGCATTTTTATGTAGGTCACTTAACGATAATATTTATATGAAAATCAGTGAAGGAATCCACGTATTTCATATGGGAAGGAATGAAAATTGCAGCATGTTTAACATTAAGCTACAAAAATCATTGTATGATCTCAAACAAAATATTGTCTCGGCCTACAAATTAAGCATCTTCCAAAGAGGTTTGTTTTATTGTAGCAATGTAACTATATAAGTATCCCAATGATGGTCCGTTTACTAGAAGAGAATAAAACCACTTAGACCTAAAGAAAGAAATGAAAGGGGATTAAGACTTGAAGTTACTTAAGTGTGATTGGAGTACTATTATACCTTGCAAATTGCAAACATGCTTGATATTGCATTTGCAATAAATGTTCTAGCTAGACATAATGTTGACCTTACCCGAAGATATTGGAATGTCGTTAAACATATTTTCATTATCTTCAAGGTTTTATTGATCATGGTTAGTTATATCCAATGGATAGAGATTTTACAATGTTGGAATATTTTCGTTATAATTTGGTTCTATTGAAAGGAAAGACTACATATTTCACCAAAATTCTTTCACACATATAAACTCCGAAAGAAAGGTGAAATCAATGTCCATCAAGTTTGCTTTGATAATCTTACGGATTTTTCACTAAATCCCTACTCACTACTACATTTGAAAAATTGGTTATAGAATTACTTTAATCTTGGGGAGCAAAATAATGATGACCATCCCTGAAGGTTTATTACCCTTTTTTTTTCATTTGCCAATTTTTTTTTCAAAGAGTTTTTCTTGGTCAAAGTTTTTTTTTTTTTTTTGTGCTATACTGGCCCTACCTCTTTGACGAAATTCGTCCCCCTAGGTATCCCCACAAGCTTCAATTATTTGAGCTGGCTATGAGACTAATCTTGAGTCGGGGCTTAATCACAGTTAAAGCTCTTCAACCCTCCCTAAACATGTTTTTGGCCAAAGGTTTTTAATCAGACAATTTGGGCAATACTTTAGTAGTACAAAGTTTTAATGTGGCATGAACTTAGCGAAGAGATTTCCTAGGGGAAATGTTATAAATGATCATTACGGATCCAATTGAATGTGAATTTCTACAATTTATTATGGAAGAAGATTACACGATAACCATTATGAAAAGTTGTAATGGTTGCTCCACTTCCTTAGCTCCAGCAGTAGCTATATGACTCAATTAAAGGAAAGTTGTATGTACTTCACTCTTTTTTACTAGAAATTTTTCTTGTAAATGTTTTTAATGAGACAATCTATGTTAGCATATAAAAGGTGGTATGTTTGCTATGAATTTTGTACTTTGTTTCCGGTTCACTAAGTTTTTTGTCCCACCGAGTTTTTCTTAGTAAGGTTTTAACCATGCATATTCATAGTGTTTAGTCATCCTTGGATGTTATAAAATATTAATTTATAGAAGGCTTGGATTTCAAAACTATTGGCACTAATGATGCAATTATTCCTTATTTATGATTCCATAACCACCATACTGATGGAGCATTAACTCCATCATTCATGGTTATAATCCTATGTATGGGCATTGCTTGCATTGTAAAACAATGGATAATGATTCCTGAAACTATGTATGAAAAAAGCTTTGTTAGTAGAGGCAAAACCCATTTCGGTGATCTCTACGCCTCAAGAAAATTAGTTTTCGGCTGTCGGCTGGGGGATACCCTAAGTTTTACTAAAAAAAAAAAATGGATAATGAGAATCATAATTCCACTTTACTTCTCTTTGATTTCTTCTTTTTTTCCCCCTTCATTTTTCTTGTAATATAATTTTCTCCATCTCTCTCCCTTTATTTCATAACAATTTTGACACATTTTCAAGTGAAAAATATCTAATGTGTAGAAAACTAAATCCTAAATTAGGTAATGGATAGAAAAGTAAAGTTATTGCGTGAAAAAGTTGATGATTAAACCTAAAAAAACATTATTAAGGTAATACATATGAATAAATATTGTTCAATTTTTTTTTTTGAGACTGTTATGAACTGTATCCATATCTTAACCGCATATCCAACAAGGGATCATGACATACCTCATTTATATCTCAACAATAGAATATAATGAGGATCAAAGGATACAATCCTTATCCCCATCAACTAGAGGCAGAATCCCACACCAACTGGGAGAACATAAAGGCCTAGGCCTAGAAAAGTAACCCCCGTGAATAAATGGTTAAAGACATCATGTACACAGTTTTTAACCTAATATACTATTACTATCAATACTGTGCACACATTCACGTCTTGGCTATATGCCCATTGATTGTGCGCAGTGATTAGAGTATTGACTATAAGTCAGTCAGATATCTATCTTCTAGATATCTCTGAGCGCATACCCTTAAAGTATCTCGATATTGTTCATTAGTACTGAACGAGAGCAACACAACCAATATTTATTTAATATAAATTGGAATACCATGTTTTCATTGATATAGTCTGATACTATTAAACATGAAAAGGCAATGTATAATGTGCAGTATATATCTTACTAATTTTTAATGGAATTTCAGGAAGAAAGAAGCCATCAGCAAACCAAAGATGGGAAAATCACCAATGTTCTTGATGAGTTTATTTTCCATCATTACAATTATTGCAACAGACAGTTCAAACAATGCGCGTCTTAGGTCCTTACACAGAAGCACTTATTGAACATCAAAATGACGACAAAAAAGGTACGAAAATAATAAAAAGTAACAGAACAGAAAATCACATGAAACAGAGCAGGCACAAATATTGAACTTTAAGTTCTACCCAACATCAGGCCTAGGGAGCAAAGCCTTGCTTCAAAGTTTCAATGATAGAAACATTAGTCTTGAAGGCCAAAGCCAAGACAGTATCGTCAATGGTGGTATTGAATAGTGTGTTGGGAAGTGATATTGTCCCAGCATTTGCACTACCAAAGGCTGATATAGCGAGAGCAGGAACCTTTGTGTCAGCGTTGTGTTGGAAGTGTACAAGACCCTTTGGGAATATGAACAAGTCACCAGCTTGAAGATTCTGTGTGAAAAGCTTATTGGTTGTGTCCACAAACCCAACTTGAAGGGAACCCTGAGCAACTAAGAGTAACTCAGCAGAGCGAGGATGTGTGTGGGGTGGGTTGACGCTACTAGGAGGGAATTGAAGGACAGCATAAGACACACTCTGTCCAATGAGAGCAGGGAATTCTATCATGCTTGCCTTCAATACCTTAAATTCAGATGGTGGTGGGTTTTGTCCAACAAGGACACGGAAGCCCGTATAGGTGAAGAAGTTTCCATCAATTGGGAGGCCAATTGGTGCTATGAAGTCAGTGAGTATGTCAGGGTCACCTGCCCTTGTTATTTGCACAATGGCAAAAGCTGATATGATTAGTGAGAGAACTTTAAAGGTAGAGGAAGACATGATTAATTAGAAATTTTACGAGGTTTAAAGGTTAAGGCTAAAGAAAACAAAGACAATGTTTGAAAGTTGTGCTTATGGGATCTTAGGAATGACATATATATAGATAGGGGTTATCTGGCTGAAAATTTTGAGAAGGGAAAGCGGGGGTTTCTATCTATCTCGGACGCTAAGGACAATAGAAATAACAATGTGACCTCGGTTGTAGATTGCAGTCGTTTGATTATGCCATTAGCAAGTAGAAGACACGAAGAATGTTTAAAGTCAAGCTGTCATTTAGCCTTTAGTTAATTGAGGATGCTCATGGGCGGGTTTAGCAAACTGTACTGTGGAAACTTAAGTGATAGGGAACGATTTATGATATATATTTCCTTACAAATTATATAAATAAAAAAGGTTAACTTTGGATAAGCTTAGTCACCGTTAGGGGTGTAAATAAGCTATGTTAGGCTAGGTTTTGGCTTAAATAGGTCAGGCCTGTATGAAAAATATTGGTTCTGGCCTTGGTTGTTAGCCTGTGTAGACTCTGATTTACAAGTCTGACCCGACCTATATTTAAAAAATTAAAATCTTGGCCTATGCTTGTTAGTCTGTTTAAGCCTATTCAACATTTAACAATTAAAAGAATAATTAAAATAATATTACTTTATTATTCAAAAATATTAAAAATCATAATTTTATTTATTTTATTTAAAATAAATAATATGATATAGGCCGGCCTGTAGGCTTATAAGCCCGACATGTACAAAAAAATCTATGGCCTATTTTTTAAATAGATTTTTTTAAAAACCTAGGTCTGTTCTATTTTACTATTTATGACATGCCAAGTCTGGCTTAATATAGGCTAAGTCGTAGGTCCCTGTAGGCCGGCCTAGCCCATCTACACTCCTAGCATCATTTATAACCATGTACTTTTTGGAATACATAATTATAATATGAAAGTCATTTTTTTTCCTCTCTTCGTATACTTTTCAGAATTTGTATGTTGATGTGGAGATAAAAAAAAACAACATTAATATTATACTATCTACTTCCTGGATACATAATTATAGGTGGTGATTATAGAGAAGCTTATCTAAAATAATTGTAGAAATTATTAACCCAAATAAAAATGCATTATTATGTTATGCACAAAATATTAATTTAAATAAAAAGTCTTATCATTTTTTTATCTATCATTAGTAGTAGATAAACGTGTTTTCAATTTAAGAGTCCTTTGTGTTCTTTCAATTTGATAATATTTCATTTCCATCATCCAGGAGTAGTACATATAATTTTGAATATGACATCCAAAAATAAAAAGGGTAGGATTATTTAACAACTTAATATTTGTTTTGCCACGAATATTTGACTACAATATTAAGGACCATTATACGGGATCTTATGCCAAAAGTGAGAAAGGAACTTAAAATATGAGTTTTATAAGAATTATATTGTAGGAAAAGTGATGGTGTAATGTTATAGAGATTCGTTTTGCGTGCCGTAGTTTTTGTTTTTGTTTTTTGCTTCAAAAAGTGTGGGTCTCACAAAATATTGTGTGTGTAAAAAATTTTTTTGTGTCATGTTAAATGATAAATATAAACTCCTTAAAATATATATTAGTTATTCTTGTAAGTCCAGCTCATTTTGAACCATTATGGGATTAATTCTTGTTTGACGGCAAGAATATATGAAAACTATGTAGACCATCTCATAAAAGTTGCTTTGTGAATATTCGGGCTCTCGTCCCAAAACATTAAAGTTGCTTACCACCTCTATGATCTCCCCACAGTATTTGTTATCAGCATATTCTACCTAGTTTTAGCTTTCTTTGTTAATAATTTTGCGTTTTAGCCAAAATAACGAGAAGATTGTTCTCTGTAAACATCAGATCCAGCAGGATAATGTGTTTCACTTGTTAGCTCATTTTGGAAACAGATAATCAATTTTGACAAACTGGCCGCATAAATTCTATTAAAAAAAAAAGAAAAATGCTTATTCACATTACACGTTCCTCACCACCTCTATTATAATGAAACAGTGAAATTAAAATGTAGAAAAGTTTCTTGTGACCTTAGCTATTAGTAAATCATAAAAATAATATAAATGTAAAGTGATATATATGTAAGTAGATTATTATTATTATTATTGGCAAAATCACTTCTCAAATTGCTGCAATTCTTCAAAGAAATTTTTTTTTGCAGCAATCAATTATAACTACGTTCTACGTATAGTACATAATTGTAGTTTTAAAAGTTGATTTTTTTTCTCTTTCCTGAGAAGGCTGTCGTTTGACATGGTGAAAAAAAAATAACTTTAATATTATGTACTACTTGTAATACATAGTTAAAATTAGTGGCATAAGAAGAAAATTTTTTCAACGGCAAGAGAAGTTGGGGACCCATTATTACTATTGGTTAAAAAATCAGTGTTCCCTTGTGGTGCATTTGATTTGCTGAAGAATCCATCTCCGTTTTACTGTCATTGAATAATGCAGATAAAAGAATTACTTATCACCCGAGAACATATGAGAAGAGTACTAGAAACAAAGACAACACCTCAAGCGTATATGCTAATATTCTGAACCTTTGAGCAACCATCAAATGCTCTCAGAATGCCCCCCCGCCAACAACATGTTAGAAGTTTAATTTGAAAATATGTGTCGTTTAAATTGTGACCTTATATTTTTTTTATAAATAAATAGGGAATCAGAATTTTAAGAGACTAATTTTTTCATATTAGCTTTTGTACTTTCTTTGAATGCCCATTTTTCTACTCCAGTGCGACTGATAAGTTATAAGTTGAGTTCGATTATGTTATTTTAAGTGGAAGTGTTGCCATAAGTATAGATATAATTCGTTCTATCCTAAGAGATATTGTATATGAATCTTGGGCACTATAGATAAGACAAAATTGCCTTATGAATACAGTGTTTAACACTAGGTTTAGATTTTTCCTTATTTCATTCTTATGTGTTCGTACTTCGTACGATACGTGTTAATTTTGCATTACTGCATATTTCGATTTCTTAAATACATTTCATGGAATTGCTTATGTTATTGAATTAATTTCTTAAACATAGATTATCCTCTCATAATTATTTTGATATCATTTTTCTAACACAATCATATCTTTTTTTTTTAATACATAAGGAGGGCATAAAGCCCAGAGAACAGACAAAGAAAAAAATCAGAAAAAAAACTAAACAGAAACAAAGATGCAGCAAAGTGAAACTAGCTAACCAAGAGCTATTGGAACATATAAATTATCTAAAGCCATAAGCCTTTCTAGATGAGGAGGAGCAACAGTGAATTGCTGGAAGATAACATCTTGAGTAGTTGCCTCATGAGCAAGCCAATTAGCACAAGCATTAGCTTCTCTGAAAATGTGGTGAACATGAATTCTCCAGTCTTTATTTATCCAGGATCTTATACCCTTCATAAGATGAGATTCAAGACGTCTAGGGTCAGGATTATTAAGCTGATTAACAATTGACAAGTTGACACCTTCTATTATAAGGTTTGGCACCCTATACTTTCAAGAAAACTCCAATCCTTTGAAAAAAACCTCGAGACTCAGCTTTCATATAATCACAACTACCAATTCTATAAGAAAAAGCACCCAACCAGTGACCAAGATTATCACGGAGAATGCCACCGCAACCAGCCACTTTACCATTCTCTTGGCATGCACCATCAACATTTATCTTTAACCAACCTACATCAGGTGTAATCCGTTTAACAACATTCTGAATTAAACTATTCGAAATTTGAGTGGAGACATTGATAGCAGAACTGCCCTTTATTGAGTTTGAAAACTCAAGAATAACTCTATGGGGATCTTGAGGGTACCTGAAGCTTAGATCATGAATCCCTTTATTCCTCCATTTCCATAAAAATCAACAACCAAAAAAAAAAAAAATCATTCCATAACTTAGAGTTATCCCTAGAACCCCAGTCCTCTAGAATACTACTACGGAACCACTCATTGTAATTTAGTTGGAAAAATATCTGCTGCTTAGAAAGAGTAACGAACCTAGACCACACGGATCTGGCTATGTCACAATCACGTAAAACATGCATATGAGTTTCAACATTATTCCTGCATCGACTACACAAATTATCAGATTGGACCCAAGAGCTGGTCCTACTTTTAGTGGGAAGTCTTTCATGGGCTGAAGTCCAAATGAAAGTTTTCACCCTCTGAGGACCATATCATATCTTTATTCGAACGTATATTTGCCTAAATTGGAACCTTTAATGTTTTGGCAATTTAATGATTTTCAAATTTGACTTCACTAACTTGGAACTAGGGGTGTTCATCAATCGATCCAAATCGATTCAAACCGCAGTGAGCGAATCGAAAAATCGATAACCGAATAAAATGAAAATCGAAAAAAAATCGCAAATTTTAATTGGATTGGATCAGTTTTTGGATTGGTTGATGAAAACCGATCTAATCCAAACCGATCCAATATATTAATTTTCCTCTACCTACTTGGGCTTTTCCCTAATCATAGTCCAAAAACATCTAAACCTAAGATCTATTAACCCATCAACTAAACCCAAAAGAAACCTAGTCACATCTCATCAACAAAATTTCTTCTGTGTAGAGCTTCATATCTCATTGCAAAAAAAAAAACTATATTATCGTTTACTGATACTTTTGTATTACAAAAAAAATAAAATTTATAAAGTCAATATATACAAAAGATGTTATTTGCACAATAATCGTGAAACAAATTTTAGGATTTTCAAAAAACTGAAAACCGATCCAATCCAAACCGAAAAAAATGGATTGGATCGAATCAGATTTGAAAAAAAAAATCCAAACCGAATGGATGATTACATGATCAAACCGAGGGGATTGGATCATATGATTTTTCCTTCCAAAATCGATCTAATCCAGACCGCGGACACCCTTACTCGAAACCTCAACTACTCCCTCTTAGTTGATAGCCTCCCCTAGGGGTGTTCAAAATATCCAAAAGAACCAAACCAATCCATAATCAAACTGCTCCACAT